GCTTTCTCTGGTTGCGCGAGCAGGGGCTACTCTTTGTTGCGGTGCGCAGGCTTCCCTTATTGTAGATCACGGGCTCTAGGCGTGCAGGCTTCAGTAGTTGTGGCACACGGGCTTAGTTGCTCCGCAGCATGTGGTATCTTGCCAGACCAGGGCTCAAACCCGTGTCTCTTGCATTGGCAGGCAGATTCTTAACCACTGCGCCACCAGGGAAGCCCAATTTACTGGTTTTTAGAATCTTTGTAATGTAGTGTAACAATCACCAGTATCTAATTCCAGACATTTTCATCACCTGAAAGAGAAATCCTGCACCCATTAGCAGTCACTCCCCATTCCTACTCCCCAGCCATACCCCTCAGCCCCTGGTAACCACTAATCTACTAATCTATTCTGAACATTTCATATCAATGGAATCATACAATATGTGTCTTTCCTGCTGCTTTCTTTCACTTAGCATAACATTTTTAAGGTTCATCCATGTTGTAGCATGTACCAGTACTTCATTTCTTTTTATGGCTAAATAATATCCCATTCCATAGATATACTATATTTTGTTTATCCATTCATCAGTTAACGGATATTTGGGTTGTTTCCACTCTATTATAAATAATGCTGCTATAAACATCTATGCACAGGTTTTTTGTGGGGACATTATTTTCAATTATTGTGGGTATATACCTAGGAATGGAACAGTTGTGTAACATGGTAACTCTATGTTTGACTTTTTTTTTTTTTTTTTGGCGGTATGCGGGCCTCTCACTGTTGTGGCCTCTCCCGTTGCGGAGCACAGGCTCCGGACGCACAGGCTGAGCGGCCATGGCTCAGGGGCCAAGCCGCTCCGCGGCATGTGGGATCTTCCCGGACTGGGGCACGAACCCGTGTCCCCTGCATCGGCAGGCGTACTCTCAACCACTGCGCCACCAGGGAAGCCCTCTATGTTTGACTTTTTGAGGAACTGTCAAACTATTTTCCAAACAGCCTGCACTATTTTACATTTTACATTCCCATCAGCAATGTATGAGGGTTCCAATTTTTCCACATCCTTACTAACACGTGTTCTTGACCATCTTTTTCATTACTAGCCATCCTAGTAGGTATGAAGTGGCAACTCATTGTGGTTTTCATTTGCATTTCCCTAATGATTAATGATGTTAAGCATCTTTTTCGGTGCTTCTTTGGCCATTTGTATATCTTCTTTGGAGAAAAGTCTATACAAATCCCTCACACATTTTTTTTAATTTATTTTTTTATTGAAGTATAGCAGATTTACAATGTTGTGTTAATTTCTGCTGTACAGCAAAGTGGTTCAGCTATACATATATATATATACATTCTTTTTTATATTCTTTTCCATTATGGTTTACACATTTTTTAATTGGGCAACTTAATTTGTATTTTTTAATTTAATGTTTTAATTTCTTTTAGTTTTAAGAATTCTTTATATCAATATATTCTTTATATATTCTGAATCTCTTATCAGATCTATGATTTGCAAATAGTCTCTCCCATTCTGTGAGTTGTCTCTTCACTTGCTTGATAATGTCCTTTGAAGCACAGAAGTTTTTAATTTTTACGAAATCTAATTTAACTATTTTTTCTTTGGTTGTTTGAGCTTTTTGTGGCATAGCCAAGAAACTACTGCCTAATCCAGGTCAAGAAGATTTACCCCAATGTTTTCTTCTAAGAGCTTTATAATTTTAGCTCTTACATTTAGGTCTTTGATCTATTCTGAGCTAATTTTTATCTATACTGTGAGGGTGACTTTGAATCTTGCCTGTCAAGAGGAAATGGAATAGAGAGTCTTTCATATCAAACAGCAGATGAAAGAATGGTTAGAAGTGGAAGAGTGATACATATGTTCTGATAAGCAATGAATTCACTGTGGCCAGAGCCTAAGGCACACAGAGAGTAAGTTGGGAGTTACAATGAATAACTGTGGCCACACCAAAAGACGGTGAGTGGCAGGATCTATTTCCCCCATATTCTCCATCAGCCACTCCCCAGCCTCACCAAGCAAACACAAATGTGAAAAAAAAACCCAGTGTACCAGCTAGAAACATAGCTTTGGACAAGCCTCCCATCCTTTTCATTTCCTCTTTCAACTTGATTGCCTCTCCTTAAGCCCTCCAATGTAGAAATTCTAGAGTTTCTGTTGCTGAAAACATTCAATGGAAAAGTAGTTTTGTTTGTTTGTTTGTTTCTGTAGGCTACCAGAAATTATTGATGGTCTTAAGCAGGGGAGCAACATGAGATTTCGGTTTTCAGAAGCAGTGGTAGTGAAAGTTGTCACCTTCTCAACCTTTTTCTAGCACCTAAGTTAGAGATTCACATGCATAATACACTATGGACTACCACACTGATCAGCTGCATTTATGCACAGTTCCTGGTGCCCTAGGGTGCAGGAAGCTATGAATTGAAAAACATAAACTAGAATCACCAAGACTGGTGATTGATTACGTGTAGCCAGATAAGGACTCTGGTTTCAAGACTGGACACCTGAGTGAGTCCTGGGGCCAGTGACAGGGCCAGGGAGCATGGATAAAGGGCAGATTTATTTTTGGGATGGAAGGGAGTAGATGCAGATAATTTTGAACATGTTGAATTGGAAGTGCCTGAGGGACACCCAAGCAACTGCATCTAGTAAGTACGTAGTTAGTGCGACCCTGGAAATCAGGAGAGCTGGCAAGAAGATGTAAATCTGGGAATCAGCTTATATATGGAACAGCATGAGCTCACTGAGGAAGCATGAAAAGATAAGCTGGGTTCCAGGCCTGGAAGGGGGAGGAAAGAACAGAAATAAGAGTTCAACTCCCTGGCAGGCACTTTGTACTGAAGCAGGTATTTCATAGCCTTCCTTTGAAGCTATTGTGCACCAGACCCAACACAGCCTCCAGTCTTCTCTCCTGCTTCCCTCTCTCTATTGCCAGGCTTCTCACCATTTGTTTGCTCAGCTCACCAGATATCCTGCCTCTGCTCTGCCTTTATCCAGCTTCATCCAATTTACTGAAAAGCTCCTCTGTTCCAGGCTCTGTACTAGGTTCTGATCATATAGCAGTGACCAAAGTCACATCCCTGTCTCAAAACGTTTACATTCTAGTGAAGGAGAAAGACACAAATAATTAGAGATATTGGAGGGAGATATGAAGAAAAAGCAAGCAGAGTAAGAGTATGTAAAGTGATGACGGTGGTATTATTTTACTTTTTTTTTTTTTTTTGGCCACACCACGCGGCATATGGGATCATGCAGGATCTTAGTTCCACAACCAGGGATCAAACCCGTGTCCCCTGCAGTGGAAGCGCAGAGTCTTAACCACTGGACCGCCACGGAAGTCCTAGGTGGTATTATTTTAAACAAAACAGTAAGGAAAGTCATCTCTAGAGGTGACACGAGTAGAGATCTGAATAAAGTGGGAAAGTTCTGGGTGAAAAAGGAGTGGCTAGAACAGAATGGTGAAGTGAGGTAACAAGGGACTAAATCATGTACGTCCTTATAGGCCAAAGTAAGGAGTCTGGCTTTCATTTTGTGTGATATGAGATCACTGTCCCCAGAGGAGTATTGAATAGAGGAGGGATATGATCTGACTTAGATTTTTTAACAAGATCCCTCTGGCTGCTGTGTTGAGAATAAACTACTGGGGACACGGGCAAAGGTAGAAGGACCTTTTAGGAGGCTATTGCAATAATTCTGGCCGGAGTAAGGGTGGCTAATTGTAGGGTAGGGGTGAAGATGGTGAGAAGTGCTCAGATTCAGGATATATTCTATATGTGAAATTAACATGATTTTGCAGTCAGAACAGATGTGGGCGTGAACAGTTGAGTGGAAAGGTTGGGTTTACAGGGGAAATCGGGACTATGGCTTCGGACACACAAAGTTGCCAATTAGACATTCAACTGGAGATGCTGATGCTGAAGAGGCTGTGGACGTCACCTGCCATATAAGTAAACATAAGGATTTTACAGCTATCAAGCCGACAGTCACAGTAGCTACCCCCAACTGTGCACCCTGAGGGGGTTCAGGACGGAGAAAAACAGTTTACTAACCCTAGATAGTTAAGGTGCATATCAAAAGAATGATTTCAATGAGCCCAGACTCTTACATCTTCCCGTACATAGAGAAGTGGTAAATTCATTAACTTGAGATGTCTGGTTTTTCTTCAGTTAAGAGTAATCTTTTGATGTTAGGCTACCTGGGTTGTTCTTTTGTTTTCGTTTTTTCAAAAACTCCTATATATCCTGGTTCCTCCCTTACCTCTTCCCAGTAGGCCCTCAGAGCTATCTCAGAGGCTGTCTCCAGGCTTAAATCCTCAGCAAAATCCCGAAATAAAACACAATTCTCAACCTTTAGGTTGTGCTTTTTTTTTGTTTAGTTAACAAGGCTATGGCTTATATGAGTCCAGAGTTCACAGAACTGAACAAAACTGCAAACACTTGGGATTGGTCTGTGTGCAATGGCATTGAAAGCAATGAGCCTGGATGAGGCAATCTGAAAGTGCTGGACAGAATCCCACCTCCAGGAGCAGAGAAGGGGAGAAGAGAGGAGACTCGCTGGGTAACATGCTGTAATGGGGCCATGAGGGTTCCATGAGGGGCGCAGCTGCCTCAAAGACGAAGTGTCTGGGTCTTAAAGGGGCTCACCAGGAGCTTGGAGGCGGGTTGGAAACTTTCCAAGTAGAGGGATCCGCTTTTGCAATGACACCGGACTCAGGACAAGATACTATGGGTCTGGAAATGGCGGAGGCCGCAGCTGAAGTCAAGAGGATCGCGCGCACCGCCACTCCAGCCCACAGTGTCCTCGCGTCTCGAGGAACTTAGCCTCTCCGTGAATCTCCTCTCAGGCCGCGCGGGCACGGTAGCGACAGACCACAGCAAGCGGCGGAGCTAGAATTACTGAGTCTGCCAAGGCGTCCGGAGCCGCCCACAGCCGGCCGAGTCTCGCGAGAGCGCGGCCTCCCCGGCCCAGCATGCCTCGCGCCGCCGCCGCCGGTGCTGCCGCCGCCGCCGCCGCCGCCGCCGCTGCAGCCGCCGCGCCGCGGCTTGAGGGCGGGAGGCTGGGGGAGGGGAGTGGAGCCGGCGCTGCCGCCATGTTGGGTCTGAGGCGGCTGCTGTAGGCGCCTACGGAGCAAGCGGGCGTGCTGAGCGGCCACAGCGGCGCGGGATCTGCCTCTCTGCGAGCGGCCGGGAGCGGCGGCGGCGCCGGCGCCATGAGCGGGGGCACCCCTTACATCGGCAGCAAGATCAGCCTTATCTCCAAGGCGGAGATCCGCTACGAGGGCATCCTCTACACTATCGACACCGAGAACTCTACCGTAGCTCTCGCCAAAGGTACGCCGGGACAGGCCTCTGGGTTGCGCCCGGCTCTCGGCCCGCGACCTCCTCGCTCCCTCCCTACTCCCTCCGCCGTCCTCCCGAGCGGGGCCGCCCCCTTGCCTCCCTCCGGGCCCAGGCGTCGCGGGCTGGGCCGGGCCGCGGCCTTCCCCGGGCTCCCAGGCTTCTGCCCCAACGTCCGCGCCTTCAATCCGGGGACTAAGGAGCGGGAGCTGGGCGGGCACGGCGGCCCTGAAGTCCGAGAACGGGCCGAAGAACACGGAGATACGTGTCTTCCAGCTCCGAAATTCGGTCTTAGCATCAAACAAAGCCTGAGTAGTCAAAGAATTTTTCCGCCTAGTCTTAGTTTAAAGTGCTGATTTGTTGATTCTCTGGCACCCATTTTCTCGCGTTCTTAATTTCAATTCGCCGCATATCCCTCAGGTGAACTGTAAGTGATGTGCCCAAACTTTGGTTTTCCTCTGCGACGCAGACGGTCTCGAAATGCCATTGGTACCATGGAGCAGATCACATCCCACTTGTCTCCTGTGTGGTATTTAGCTGTTAGACCGGAATCCTTCTCCAAACCTGTTGTGCAACCATCTCTTTAAAAATGTTTGCTGTTCTCGTTTCGGCCTTGTTTCTGGAAGCCCGGGGGGAAGAAGTGTTCAAGCTTTTTCCGGGACCCTTGTTCACAAGGCAGATCTGAGTGGTCAGTGGGCGCTGACCGACCCCCGTGCAGGCTCCCTGGGACAGAGTTCTGGGGTCGGGGAGGAAGCTGTTCTCCCCCAAATATTTAGCATCGCCACAGTCTTGTGGGTTTTGTTTCCGTTTACACGTCTGGGCTTTAGCTCCGCCAGGAAACCAGGAAGAAAATAAAATTTAGCTTCTAATCTTAAAAGAAACCTCACAAGTTTTTGGAACACTTAGGAGAGGGAAGCAAGATAACTAAGGTATTGATAATTTTCGCAGCACATGGTAGAGTTATAGAATGAATAGCATGGTAAGGAGAGAGGTCCGGCGATAGGAAAAAAATTTTCTAAATCTATTTTTTTTTTAAAAGATTAATCTTTGACCCAGGAGAGTCATTTTGCGGTATCACGCAAGTATTTAATGACATTTTTTTGGATTCTCTGGTACATCCTTTTTAATAGCACTCGTGTTGGGACAAATCTTATATCTGGATAGGGAGCCTTAAATTATTTTATCTTAATTTTCTTTCTTTTCCCCTCCCACCGACCCCCCCCCCTCGCGTGCATATTTAGCTGTATAATGTTTTAATTTTTATGATTTTGTGAAATTGTGAAAAAGGTCCTCTAGAGTTCTTGGTGAGAGCCACATACAAGCTGAAAACAGTATTTCTCTTTAAAGTGGTTTAATAGCTTTTTAAAAAGGCATTGTTTTACCTAATCTGAATTTTAAGGTGTCTTGCCAGTTCCTTCACTCCTCACAAAGAAAAAAATCTACATTGTAAAGATTTCTAGTGTATTCATTTCAATCTTTAAAAAAAATCTGTACACTCTTTTATGCAAGAACCTAAAAATTCTGTATTTTAATAACGATCCACATTTTTACAAATTATCCTTTCAACAGCTTCTAGGGTCAGTGAACATTTTGTTAGTCTGTAATAGTTAAAATCATATGCAAAACATAATTTGTCCTTTTTATCATGACTTGGTAAATATGTTATATAAGTATAGCAATGAAAAGATTTTTTTAATCATTGAATTTATGTCTCTACTTATGGCTTTGATATTTAACCCCACATACATAATATATTCTTTTTTCTTAAGAAATATGAGTTATTTAATGTGTAACAGAGGTTTGGGAATTTGTGTTTGCAAAAAATTGGAGTTATCAAATCTTGATATTATTCTACCTAGCAGTATCTAATCTAAAACTACTTTATAACTGTCCAGTCAACAACCGGGCACTTATTTCAAATTTCAAAATTAGAAGTGGGGTGTTTGGTCTCAAAATTTTAGAATTTACATGACTTGTGGAGTAATCTGATATCTGAAATTCCACCTTTTTCAAAATTTGGATGAAGAGTGGCAGTATAACAGATTGAAGCCAAAAGTTTATTCATGGATTTTAGAATACTGTATGTTTAGAATACAGTGTGTATTTGGATTTAGAGATCCTTGTTAACTCTTTTTAAACTATGGAGTGAGTTAATCTCTTTAACATTCTTAGAATTCTTTTTAGGATGTTAATTTTTTTCCCCTCTAGGGAGCTGTTTTGTTTTTTTTTTCTTATTGTGAAATATAACCACACATGTTGAAAAGATAAGTAGATAAAATGAAATATTTTTAAACAAAGATCCTTGTAACTACCATCCAGGGTAAGACAGGCATTGCCAACATCCCACAAGCCTTCCACCCCCTGCATCTTCCCATCAACTACTACCCTCTTAAGCTAGATATAAATGTTATTCTGACATTCATAGTTTTATCACTTAAGTTTACATCTCTGAATGTTGTCCGTGTTTGAACTTTATATAAATGGAATCATCTTGTATATATTTATTTTGGTTTTTGTTGGGAGATAGTATTCCATCATGCATATGATATGTTTATTTCTGCAGTTGTTTTGGATATTCTGCAGTTGTTTAAATTGTTTACAGTTTTTGGCAATTATGAACAATGCCTTTGTGAACATTTGTGTTTGAGTTTACTGATGCATGTTTACATAATTTTCTTTATGGTGTATACTTTGAATTGCAGGATCATGGGGATTGTGTGTCTTTATTAGATAATGACAAACAGTTTCCCAAAGTAGTTGTTTACTAGTTTTTATTTCAATTATTAGTACAGTATATGAAAGTTATAGTTGTTCCACATCCTTCAACAATAATATTTAGTGTAAGGTATTTTATGTTTTAGTTCTATCCAATCTGGTGGGTATGTATTTGTACCTCGTTTTAATCTCCCTGATTACTAATGAGGTGAACGCCTTTTCATATCTTGGTCATTTGGATCTCATCTTTTCGTGAAGTGCCTTTGAAATCTTTTGCCCATTTTCCTATTGAATTGCATGTTTTTTTCTAGAGTTCAATATTTAGAATATGAATCCTTTGCTGGATGTATCTGTTACAAGTATCTTTTCCCATTTAACGGTTTCTTTTGGTGAATAGAAGTTCTTTTAATGTAGACATGTTTATCACTCTTTTCCATTATGGCTAGTGTTTCTTTTCCTCTTTTTTTAAGGAGTTTTTCCCTATCCCAGGTCATGGAGTTACTTTGATTATCTTTTCAAAACTTTTTTATTTTGCCTTTTCACATTTAGGTCTATAATACGCCTGTAATTAATTTTGTATATGTTGTGAGGTATTTAAATCTTTAAATTTAGTAAGGGCATCACTTGGCTTATGTGGTCCAGATTATAATTTAGATTCTTTACTTGGATGTTACTTACAATTTAAATCCATCTGGAACTATAAAATAGTCCTGAAATTTTGGACTATTTCTGTTTGATGTAGTATGTAATTAGGGTGACCATATGGCCTGGTTTGCCCTCGTGGAAAGTCCTAGTTTGTGCCTGTTATTCTGGCATAATGGTTAAAACATCCCTTTTCTCTCTTGAAAATGTTGCAGTTTGGATAATAAACTGTATGGTCACACTGTATATAATCAAAAGCCCAATCCCAGAGGTACTGCTGAATGGGTGATGTCTTTTATTTTCTGCTAGAGATTTCACAGACTAGCTGTAGTTCTATAAAGTGAAATTGAGGTAAGTTTGATGAACTTTAATACTCAGTCTTCTAAATCAATGTCAGGAAGTTTTAAAGGCAACCTAGAAAAACTTTAATGTAGGTCTAAGTATGTTAGTAGATAACCTGGGCTGTAGTTTGTTTCTTATAGTCTTTGTCATAGCTCTGCATTGTGTTTCTTCCTAATACTGATCATGACCTACACATAATCATCTTTGTTTATTTGCATGTGTTTATTGTCTCCACCTTCGCTCCCCACGTAGAGTCTGAGCTCCTGGGATGAACGAATATTTATTAAATGAATGAATAAATGGAAGTTAATTAGCATTTTAGTTTATTAATCTTATAGAAGTCTCTTGGGGATATCTCCAAATTCCATGTTCACAATTGTATCACTCTTTAAAATTAAAATACATAGGTATGTTCCCTCCCCCAACAGTAAGAAATTTTGGAGAATAGGGATATAAGAGGAAAAAATCTTATGACATGATTTAAATGACATTGTTGGGGAGACAGAGTTTCACCTTATGACTCAAGCTCAATTATAGTTTTCATTTAAAATTTAAGAGAAGAATCAGTTCAGGACGTTTGAGGGAATTGCAAAGTGATGACATGCATCAATGGTTTGTGGGATGCTTCCGAATGTATTTGCACCTGTGTTTGTGAATATGATGCCCAGACACATACTAGATCCTGGATACTAAGAGATTTCGCACAGAATGGAAGATTCATGAAGGCAGAGAGTTTTGTCTCATTCATTGCTCTATCCTCAGTACCTGGAACAGTGCCTGGCACATAGCAGACCCTTGGTAAATATTTGAATAAATGAAAAGGATACTTGTAGTTACTGAAGGTTTCTAATTATGGGAATCTCAAAGTTGGAGGAAGTTTACATTTCCTATAAGCATTATATACGTAGATTTTAAAAGTATTTAAATAAAATTAAATGAAATTCTTATCTAACATACATATATATATATATATTTTTTTTTTTTTTTTTGCGGTACGCGGGCCTCTCACTGTTGCGGCCCCTCCCGTTGCAGAGCACAGGCTACGGACACGCAGGCTCAGCGGCCGTGGCTTACGGGCCCAGCCGCTCCGCGGCACGTGGGATCCTCCCAGACCGGGGCACAAACCCGTGTCCCCTGCATCGGCAGGCGGCCTCTCAACCACTGCGCCACCAGGGAAGCCCTAACATATATTTAGTTAGCTGTACCTGGATAATATACCCCTCAAATGAAAAACAGGTTGCCACTGAATTAGGAAAAGAGACTTTGTGAAGAAGAATGATTATATAAGCCAGCTG